AAGATAATTTGTTTATAAATATTTGCTTATTTACTTTAATCGTGCTAATTTGATGTGAGCATTTATTAATTGAGTTTTTTTTTTATGCTTATAGAAATTTACTTTGCGTGTCAATACTTGTATTGTTTTTTTTTTAATTTCATCTTATCAATCTGGTAAGTGAATTTTATTAATCGATGTGTTTGTCAGATTTATTAAAATATAATTTACTTATTTATTAATTGTATTAGCCCAGTGAATAAAGGGAATGCGATACTGTTCATTTCATAGACAAACATTTCACAGACAATTTAGTTTACTGGATTTTACAAATGTATAATTCACAGACAAGCTTATTTTATACACCATTATTTCACAAACAAATAATTGTATTATTGTTAGGATTAGATTTAAAATTTAATACAAGTTAAAAAAAAAGAACTTAAGCGATCTGTGAAATAAACTGTCTATGAAATCAACTTGTCCATAAATTAATTGTCTATAAAATTTTCTTATTAGAATTAATTACGTATTTGTAAACTAAATTGCCTATGAAGTGATTACCGGTAAAATAATATATATTCAAGTGAATGTTTATTGATCGAAGCATTTAGAATTAGAAATTTAATTTACTTTAAATAAATTTTCTATTAATTAAAATCAATCATGTATTTTTAATATGTTCTAATAAATTCATATAATTTTTATTTTTTATATAATGTCTAATTAAAGTTACAAATTTGAATCAATTATTACTAATCTATGAATTTAAATAACTTACTCTAAATACACTGATTAATAAATAATTCTTGTATTAAATAAGTGCGAATGAATAATTTAATATACAGTAAGACCCTCTATAAGTGCACACCCCCTCTAAATGCACACTCAAGTGCCAGCCCAAATATAAACTTGACCTCCATAAATGCACTTTTTCTTATTATTCTCTATATGCACGTTATTAAAAGTGTGGTCCCAAGGGCGTGCATTTAGAGAGGTATGACTGTATTATATAACAGTAAGCATCAACGTGAGTCAATATCTTGTTCTAAATCTATTATTGAATAATAATTATCATGCTTAACAACTAAATCAGTGCAAATGATCAAACCAAATAAATGTTCATACCTTAGTACATTGATATCTTGCAATAGCGAAATTCAAAAGCTTATTTTTAGCGCAATTATAAAAGTATGAGTTCAATAAAGCATTAACTGATTCTACAAATTAACTAAATTGTATTTATTAAAAATGCTGGTTTAAATATATCACAAAATAAAGTACAGTCAACTCTCTCTAAGTGCAATGCGATGGAACTATATATAAAAATTTTGCCAAACGTGCACTTAGAAAGATATTGCATTTAAAGAGCTAAAAATCTATAGATGTAATATTAGTTGGGACCAAGAGAAGGTGTGCATTTATATAAGACGTGCACTTAGAAGAAATTGACTGTATAACTATAAATCTTATATTTTGCTAATTCTGTAATTAGATTTCAGAGGCTTGAAATCACGAAATTGATAGCATGTGGAATAATCTAGAAAGAAATCTAGAACAACCTGACAGATGATCGTTACTAAATAAGGTGCGATCTGCAATAACCAAATATGGTATATTCCTAGACTGAAATAGGTTTTAAACTTGAATAAATAATAAGAATATAAACAAGTTTTATCTAATTTTAACTTGGATACCTTCTATTTTAAGAAACCGTTGCAAGGCAACGGGAGCAGACCTAGTCTATATATATATATATTGTGGAGTGTCTGTCACATAGTATGCGTTCCGGATGCACAAGTGTCACCGATCTGCATGAATTGCCTACAATACAATTTATATTGGATCTGCAGATCGTGTAACTTAATTTATGCGTTCCTTATGGTACAAGCTACTAAAAAAGGTAAGTAAACAAATGCGCCCCCCCTTTTTTTTTTGTAATTAAAATTTTTTTCCCGCGCTAATTTATTTTTTATTCTTTTCTATCCCAATTCCATACCGCCTAAAGAAAACGTTGCTAGAACCCTCAAATCAACACACGAAAAAATTGTGTGGCAGGTTTTGTTGATCATTGTAACGCAGTCGATTAGAAGATTTGATGTTAAAATCGCTCAAGTAAAACTTTTTATTAGAGCACTAACATTGATTTTTTATGCTGATTTTGAGAAATAGGCGATTTTTGTCAAAATGGGCGTTTGTTTTGAATCTTCTGATTGTGTCACATTACACTTTACCTTAAAATCTATTTAGTTTGATTTGTGGATTCTCTCTTGGCGGCACTCATTTAAAAATTCCATATATTTAGGGATATTTATTACGCCAATATTATTTTATCAATGGAGGTTGTCTAGTTTTGCAATAGTTTATTTAGATGTAATTCTGAAAGGTGCAACTTTGAATATGTGATTTGAGTTGTACTTTATAGGCACGCATGTACATATATATAAATTCTCGAGGTTATTAAAAAATATTTTGACTTGTAAAAGACATGCCATTGTATTGAAAGCTCACCTAAACCGTTTTTACATCTCATTTAGTCGAATAAATTTAATATTTGCGTATTCAGTAGACCAGTATTTTAGTTTTAACATCATAAGTATTAGGAAAATTATGTTCATAACACCATGTTATATAACCCTAATATATAATACTTTCAATTATATATTATACTATAAACTATATACCTACCCTAACCAGTCTATATAATTAACATATATAGGGTGTTATATAACATGAGTGTTATGAATATAATATTTCTAAGTATTAATATTACGTATTATGAAGTAATATTTATAATTAGGCGCTCAAAGTTGATTAGTTGGTTAACGTCATCCCCAGTTGACTTTCCCCAAAAAAAATTAAACACCCATCACAACACAGGAAAAACCTCAATATGTGTGTTTCCACCCTTCTCCCCACGCCTAAAGCCTAGGATATTGACGTTAACCAACTAATCAACTTTGAGCGGCCTTAATAACAATAAATATTGCATTCTTAAAAAAGTACTTTATAAATAAAGTATGTGATGTAATGATTATGCACATGCAATCAAAGTTAAATCTATTGTGTTTATTGCTGCTGTTATGCGATTTTTTTAGATATAGAATAAAATTGAGATACGAATAGAAATAATAATTAAAACTTTGCTTTATTAGTTTTTTCTTTATTTTACAAATAAACTTCCGCATTGTAAGATTAGTCGATAATCGCAGATTGTCAATGACCATAATGACCGTAATGAAAGAGTTGAAAATTTCTAAATTTAAATCAGATGCCTTAAAATACAATCATTAAAACCAGAACATACTGGATTAAATAGGCAGATTATGTTAACATTTCTAGAAGGAAAATGTTGCGAAAAGCTTAGGAATTCTGTAACAAATTTGATATCTCTTGTGTGTTGAAAAATTTACTAGTGTATTTTGAATCTAGATTCTTTGATGATTCGATATAAATTTTGATTTTATCAGCTTCCAAAAATTGATTTTTGGTTTCATTATTATCATTTTGATTTATCTCATCAAGCCAATGACCAATTTGATTAACAATAACACTTGCCGTGGGCCGTTGGTTTTGATCCTGCTCCATACACTTCATGGCCAATTTTAAATAACAATCAGGTGTTTTCTTATCAAAATCTGGTCGTTTTCCTTGACAAATTTTTACTGCAAGCTTTAAATCAAAAGTTTCATCATAAAATGCACTTCTTCCTGTTGATATCTCAGACATAACAACTCCAAAACTATAAATATCAGCTGCTTTTGTAAACGGTTGTTCACACAGAATTTCAGGTGCTATGTAAGGTATAACTCCATTAACTTTTTCTTCCGTGCTTATATTAAATGAAATAGAAAGCCCTAAATCCGTGATGTAAGCACTATGTAAATGATCTTGCAAGATATTTCCGGAATGTAAATTGCGATGAAGCAATCCATGAGAATGGATTAATTCAAGGTCTGAAGCAATATTATATAACAAATCCAATTTATCTTTCTATTTCATTTGTGCTACCGAACAAAGATTTTGCCGCAACGAGCATTTTCTTGCATATTCCAAAATGATCATATAATCATTAGAGGTATCATGTCTTGATATTCCGTAACATCTTAAAAATGATGGATTCCTGTATCCAATCTCTCAAAACTTTTTCAGCTACAATATTTTTTAAATAAAAAAAAAGAAACGTTATTTTTTTTATTATTATTTCATTAACAAACTTATTTGTTGCATTAATATACTACCTCATCGGCAAATTCTTGATTATATTTATTTGAATCATGAATCAATTTAAGTGCAAATGGCATCCATACATTTGTAGTTTTATCAAACCAATGTGCAAAATATACTGTCGCGAATCCACCATTTCCTATCTTTTCAATATCCCTAAATTCATTATAAGGAATCCATGATAGCTGATATTTTTCGTCATTTAATATTTTCTCCAAACCAGAATTATCATCAATATCCATATATAATGTTTTATTTATTTTCACACTTCTTTCTTTTCGGTACCAATAATTGGCTTGTTGTAAGTCCCTCGTTACACCGATTCCATTTCTGTAACAATCCCCAACTTGTAA